AACTTTAAGCTTAGTGTAGTAGAAGTAGGGTTTGAAAACTTAACCTCTTAACCATGTCTTTCATGTTGTTAACAAGAAATTGCAAATTGTATACAACTTGTAACCGTTTGTGACTCCCTTGTGACTTATCCTTGAATAATTGAAACAGACACTTCCAACTGGAACATTGTTGTCATTGTAAATGCACTTGCAAAAAGGCCATATAATTTGTAATTATTCAACTATGACTGAAGCATGATGTAACACGTTTTTCTTTGAAACTCTTACTCATGGCTTGCCACTTTGTAATTCCATTCACTAAAATGCAACGATCTGACAAGGTCTTTATTCGACGAATGATCCTTGCTTTGAAAGATATTTGGAAACATTCTTCACATTTTTAATAAGTCATATGCAATGAACACAACTTCAAATTCTTATGCTTGAATCAAATCTTGGATGATGATCAAGCCATATGTTTTTTTTAGACTTTTCTTTTAAAACCATAAAGAATCCAAATCACCTTATAAGCAACAAAAGAGGGAATATGAATCAAGACCTTGATCGTAAAGAGTTCACAACCTCATCTCTTATGTCATATACAATTCACACTTGCGTTTCAACTAACAAAAATATCTTGACTTAATGAAAATTCTTCTTCAATTGATGACCTCATCACGAACGTTTCTTTGAGAAATCCCCAAGACCTTGTTAGAGATATTGATTAACGAAAGAAGTAACCAGAAGGGGTCGTGTGATGATGAGGAAAAATGCTATAAGGAAAGAATAGTGGTTTGGCGTAGCCTTGAGGTGAAAACCCTAATGCACTTGTTCCTAGGGAAGGAAAGATGAAGACAACCTTGTGGCTTGATGAACTTGATAATTGAAACAATCTCCTTATGAACCAATATATGATAAACTGACAATCTTCTCACACGACAACTTGACCTTCGATGTGCATTGCCTAAGAAATAAACCACTGACGTGTATAGCTTGCACTTGAAGCAAACTCTCGATCACAACTGAGTAACTACACTTGACTTGCAGTTGTTCCATCATCCCCGATGAATCTGAGCTCTTATCCATGATGAGAGATAAATCTTAACCTTGAGCCAATTGAACATAAGCTCGCCAGCAAATTCAGACCAAGGAGGTGATGAAACCCTAGGCCCTTGATGCCTGACAACTCTTGAAGAATGTAAGTCTGATACTTGATTTGATTTTGAGAAACTCCAAATCCTTTGAGCCAATGTTACAAATGATTACAAAATCATTGAGTAAGTGAATAGAAAACAGTTTGTCCAAATCCTTCTTTCATCTTTCTTCTTTATCTTTTCTTCTTTCTCTCTTTAGAAAACTAATTGTCTCATTATTCATCAAGAAACTTCGTTTCTCATTCAAGAAAGGGTTGAAAATATCGTTTGTGATTACTATGCATGTGAATCTATCAAATCCATGGTGTTAACTACAAGAACGACTATCATTTGCAGCCTCCACTGATTAGATACATCAGGTGGTGGAGATGGTGGTGGTCAAAATTTGTAGGTTCAACTACATCTGACGGTGGTGGTCAATCATCACCTGCATAAAGAAAAATAATTCAAAAATGTTACTCCCTCTATTCTAAAATAAGTGTCATACTTGACACTTTCACACATATTAAAAAAAATGTAATGAATGTAAGAGAGAGAATAATTATTTTACCAAATTATCTTTATTATCTATTGGTGTATTCAAATTAGTATTAATACAAAGTAGAAAAATAATAAATTAAGAGTATTAATTAGAAGGTACAATGAGAAATTTAAATTGCATTGGTAAGGTAAAGTTACAAATATTTTGGGACAAATAATTTTTTTAAGCTATGAAGGTTAGATCATGATTGATTAATGGAGCAGAAAAGTCTTCGTATAATAAAGGGACATGGAACATACACAAGATGTTGGTTAATGTGAAATAAATCTATTTAAATGATAGGTGGAAGGAACGAATCTCTGAATGTCATCTACTACGAGATCAGTGGAGTGGTCATTAATAACATAACACTAAGACAATCCTAACAACATGATCCACCACCTACACCTTGGAAATTTTCATGATATCATGAAGCTATGGAAAAATAAATCATAAAATAATAATTAATTAATTATTAAATATTACATAAAATTTAATAATATAAAAAAGATAATATGATAAAAACTATGTAAATTATAAGAGATTAAACTTATGGAAAATAATAATTGAAAAAAGATTAAGAAAAGAGACTCAAATTACTAAGAATTAATTTGATTTTATATTTTAAAGGTTGAGAATAAAAGCAATTTCTCTACTATGACGTGTGATGGAGCAGTATCAAATGGACCAATAAGACTTACACTTAATTTTTATTGACTTGAGAAGATATGTGATAGACTGTCTAGAGATTTTGTGAAAAGCTTTAAAAAAAATAAAGGGGTTAGTATTGCCTATATTAGAGATATCTAAGATATATAGGAAGGGGTATGACTAGTGTGTCGATCCATAGTAGAGATACAGGAGATTTCTACATTAGAATTGAATTGCACCAAAGTTCAACTCTAATTCCTTACCTTTTTACTTTAATTTCGTACGTATTCAATGAACACATCCAATAGCTAGGATCAAGATGCATGTTTTTTTGCAGATGATATAGTCATACTTGAAGAGTTGGAAGAGAATTTTAATGAGAAGTTGGTGACGATATCATACTGTTAAAAAATGTGGTTGGGGCTAACTCAACCCTACAAAATCGGTTTTGTAGGGTTGAGTTAGGTCCAACCACGTTTCTTAACATGGTATCAAGAGCCTCGTTTAATATTCGGTGGGCCACCTTCTATGGTTTCCGCTATCAGACCACCACATTTCTTAACATGGTATCAAGAACTTCGTTTAAGATTCGGTGGGTTGCCTTCTATGATTTCTGTTATCGGGTCACCCACCATTTATTTCCACGCTTCAGTTGTCCAGTCCTGAGCGTGAAGGGGTGTATTAAGAGTCTTACATCGAACAATAAATAACATGAACATGTGTTTATAAGTGGAGGCAATCCTCACTCTACCAACCGGTTTTGTAGGGTTGAGTTAGGTTCAACCACATTTCTTAACAATATACAATAAGTTACACGGTTTGAATATTTTGGATTTGTAATACAAAATTATAGAGAAAATTTTCAAAGATTTTATGTGCCACAAAGTATGCTGAATGACTGGAAGAAAGAAAGAAAGAAAAAAGGAAGGGGTACAAGGTTGAAGCCCCCATATGTTAGTAAATCTTTTATATGGAAATTTCAACACCTCGAATCTATTGAAGATGGGAGGTGTTACCATTAGAATGTGGTTATTTGATGCTAAGAGTTCAATGGATCATGGCTAGGGCTGGCAATGAACCAAACCAACTCGAAGATAGTTCGGAATTCGACTCGACAATTAAATCGTTGAACTAGGTTCATGAACCAAATGAGTTGAGTATGAGCGAAAAATTAAGTTCGTTAACTAAATGAGCTGAACTTGAACTATACATAGTTCGACTCGTTAGGTTCATGAGTCAACTCGATTACATATGAAAAGAATTATACTGTCTTTAAGATTAAGTTTAAATATTTACTTCAAATCTTAGACAAATTTAATCTTCAATTTATTAGTTTTTGAATTAGACTCTCAAATGTATCTCTTGAAAGTTGTGTAGGTTTTGAATTAGTAGATTTCGAAGATAAAGTTAAATTTCAATATGATAACTTTTATTTTATTTTAATATTTTATTTTAAAAATATATATTTATTTAAAATGTCAAATATACTAAAAAATATATATTTTTTAAAAAATAGTTTTTAAGTTCGTGAACCATGTGAGCTGAACCTAATGAGATGAACCTAACGAGTCGAACCGAACTGTTCGTGAACTTATAACGAGTCGAGTTTGAGCTTAAAAAAAAGTTCGTGTCGAACTCGAACTCGAACTCGAATTCGAACAATTCTTAACGAGTCGAGCCGAGCTGAGGTGAGTTCGACTCGACTCGACTCATTTCCAGCCCTAATCATGGCTTACGGGGTATTTCAAAGCTTCCTATGAAACTCCTTGTAACAGGGTAAAAGTGGTTTTGAAGCTTCAGCTCCCTTTGGCATTAGTAACTATGATCCAAAAGTGTTCCCTTCCTCTTTGGAACCCATCCACAGCCTTAAAATTTTTATAATAGTCAAGATGGAGAAAGCAACAAATGAACTTATGAAATTTGATGTGTATTCTACCTATAACCTTATTCCAGGAAACTTTTACTTGGTTAAGGTAGTTAAAATACATTCACTACCTATTTGTCAGTATTTAAAGTGGATAGGGAGACTACAAATTATGCTCTCATAATCCTTTCTTTTTGGATTTTGACAAGTGAGGAAGATCTGCTAAGTTATGCATTTACAGTTTCCATAAGATTAGTGGAGGAAGCAATCATAGGATTGGTGTTATCTTTGATTACTACTTTTAAGACTAAACATGAAACTTTTTTCAAAAGTCAAACTTTACTTTTGCCCACTCATCATCAAATAGACCTCATTCAGTTTTCAGACAAGTTGAAACAACGACTATCATAATAACACTTCAAATATTATTGTGCAATTAATTTAGCAAAACAAAACAAGACAAAATTCCAAGTAAAGAAATCCAAGTCCTAGAAAACAGACTACCAAAACCTTAACTACATAAAACTATCCTTAACTACATAAAACTATAATACGGATACATACCATTGTGTTTTGACAAGTCTCAACACAATACCTGGCACACATTTCAGAAGTCTGTTTTGTGAGAAAAATCTCTTTTGTCGAAACCTGTTGTATGTTAGTGAAACTCTTGTCTGTCGAAGAATTAGAAGGCCATTTTGGCATTATGTTGATACTTGACCTCAGGTCACAAAAGAGGCAACTTTTAACAGTGACTTAGATTTTGGTAGTCATCATTTTGACACCAATTGCTTCATTAACCTTACACTATAAGTCATTTTCATGGTCTGGATTATTTCACCCGTCGTGCAACTTTTCTCTTATTTGACGGCCCATTTTTCTTCTCAAATCTTTTTCTTTTCTTAGCTTGGTTTTGGAATGATTTTCCAACTAAAGAGGGGATTTGTTTCAATGCAAAGCTTTTTGCTACGTGCCCCAAGTGAAGTTTCTTGACCATAAATATTCTTTTCAGGTCCCCGCGATGTGCTGTGTATGCCCGAACCCAAGAGCAAAATGCCTTCTTGGCAAGTTCATCCATATGGGGCTGAAAAAGATAGGCCAACAATCGGTTAGTGAATACAAACAAGAAACAAAAAAAAACTGTGATACTTTCACACATGTAGAATTCAATTAGCTTAGCAATGAGGATGATCACCTTGGACGAGATGAAGGACTCGAGCGCCTTCTGGAGACACATGATCCAGGGGTGCATGTCAATGAAAACAGAATTCTTCATGTTTTTGTGTCCAGACATTGGGAAACTGTCCAACACTTTGGGGAGAGGATACTCTGTTAACGAGACTCCGTGTTTCTTCAAGTCTTGTAAATAGTCTATTTCAGCAGGTTGCAGAAATAACAATGACTCTCCTCTTTCGCCCAGTCGAGCTGTTCTTCCAACTCTGCATCAATGATTTAACGATAGTTTGTAAATAAGAGCCTTTCAAATCATATTGTTTGATTATTATTTTTCATAAACAGAACTTAGGAAGGAGCTTCTGAATCTACTAGATGAGATATCTAGTGAAGCATGCCACCACATACTAGCAGTTGTTAAAATAACACTTAGAAGAGTAAAAGTAACCTTTACACTTCTAGAAATATAATTTGTTTGGATAAACAGCTTAATTAAGTACTTATAGCGTAAGAGTTTATCACATAAGTCATTATGCATAAGCTATTTCTAAAGCAAAAGATAAAATTAAGTCAAACTACATTCGTATAAACTATCAGCTGTTTTTAGCAAGAGCTGGAAATAAGTTAAAAACAGATTATGGAGATGTCATTAGTTGACTTTGATGTGTAATTTGGAGTTTAAATCGTGTACATATGTAACAATGAATATTTTAATATCATGTGTCAATTTTCTTGTCCTTTTAGAACATTTTAAAACACAATAAAGAGGCCGAAATTTTTGGCATCTTTATTTGGATTAAAATAGAAAAAACAGAAAGCATATATTATGAATTAGGTACCTATGCACATATTCAGTAGCTTCTCCTGGAGAATCATATTGTATGATGCATCTAACATTTGGAAAATCTAGGCCTCTGGCAGAAACGTCAGTAGACAAAAGAAGGGCAGATTTGTCAGTTTTAAAGGCCTGAAAACTGGTCGTCCTATCCTCCTGTTCCATATTACCATGTAGCCGGAGAGTTTTGCATCCAAGAAAAATTGGTCTATTCCCTTCTTCGGTTTGTGGATGTGATGAGAAAAGGAATCCGGTTAGCACCGAATAGTGAAAGTCCACTGCATCACATGTTGAAAAGAATACTACAACCTGTGGAGTCAATAGGCGAATGATGTGATTCATAAGTAGTGATTCATTAGAATAAATCAGGATTCGATATGGAACTCATGTCCAAAATATATAAACACTAGAGATTCCTATAAATTGGGTTCAATTTTGTATCTAATCAAGTGTGACTAGCATGAATCTTAAGATACTGATAACCATGTTGAAAATAATTGAAGAATATGCAGAGTGCAAAATCTACTGATTTAAACAACCAAAGCCCTACCTTCTGTGAAGGTTCCCTTTCAAAAAGATGCTTTAGAACTGAAAGAAGTGTAGCAAGCCGCGATCCACAAGGCACTGCATAATAATCCGACTAGGTAAGCAAGATCCCAAAACATTATGCTACTACTTAGAATTACATAAGAAATTTAAAATTATCAGATACCCTTCAAATATCGCTGAATCAACTGTTCAGGCACTTTATAAGCTCCAACTGATGCTATTTTATTAGAATACTTGTCTTCATTGTCTTCATCAGAGTCGGAATGGACAAATCTAATTTTTGAGGTCGGTTCCATTGTTTTATCATCAATGCCAATCATCACCGGATTCTCTAAGCTAATTTTAGCAAGGTGGTTTACTTTCTCATTTAAGGTTGCGGACAAAAGCAAGTTCTGTCTTTGAAATTTAGAGGGTCTTGTAACTGGATTCTCTTGGTCCTCATGCCCGGTCTTCATTGAACCTAAAAGATTTAGTATTTCTTGTATCTCTTTTCCAAATCCTAATTCCAAAATACTGCAAAAAAAAAGACGTGTGTTAGGCGAACTCATCCATGAGATAGTAGGTATCATATCGGCTTAGATATAATTTCTATTGCAGAAATAGATGAAAACCATACCGATCAGCTTCATCAAAAATTATCCAGCGCAAATTTGTGTGCAAGAATGATGTTGTATTCTTCAAGTGATCTAAAAGGCGCCCGGGAGTTGCAATAAGAATTGATATGCCTAAATAAGAATCACAAAGGATTAAAAACTTGTCATGTTTGTAAGAAAATTTATACAATGTTTGTCATCGTGATATTTCCTTTTTGTGATAGATAAATTTTCTTTTAAACATAAAAATGATGTCAATGTTGTTGTAATTGAGATCCAACCTAGAATTGGATTCCAAAAAAATAACACTTCTTATTTTAAAAAAGTTTAAAAATAAGAAATATCGAGAGCAAGCTCTTCTACACTGGTTATAAAACCAATCAAAACTAAGATATGCCAAAGATGATTTCTAAGAGAATGGAAGTCTTTATTTATAGACTTCCTATACAAGAGATAGGGACAAAGGATCACAAGCAACTAACTAAACAATTAACTAACTAACTAATTAATTACTCTAACAACTCAGTGTTGTTGATGGAGGATGGCAGTGCATGACGGAGAGTCAAAATACCATCATACCAGCCACTTTGCGGAGCCAATATAGTGGACTATGGCAGAAAAACCCACAATACTGACTGATATTTACCATTACAGCAACCCCAAAAAACACCATGTATATCCGCCATAGCACTATCATGGCGGATATTTGATGACACTGTAACAACTCATAACTACTTTAATTATTATAATTAGCCATTATTCCATATATCCTAACAGCATCCCATTGGAATTGCCAATGCACGCAAAAATCATAAAAATTGAACGATCATACAAAATCACAATTTTAACTACCTTGAAAGATACTATAACATGCAAGATTAAATTTTTGAAAAACTAATAAAGAATAAATTTCAAAGACGATTAAGTCAGAAGATGAGTATTGATGATGAATAAACATGATTTCTACCTTTGCGCAGCCTGGCTTTCTCCTTCGATCTACTCTCACCACCCATAATATATCCTGGAACAATCCAATGAAACCGATGCAATAACTTCTGAAGAATTTCATGAACCTGCAAACATAACTCACGCGTTGGTACAAGCACCAACGCTATTGCCAATAAACAAATTAAACCCGTGAAATTGATAAATATTCTTAATGTGATGAGAAGCTAACATTAAGTAACGAAATAGAAGTGATGAGCAGCTGAACAAATAGGTGAATTTGTAAAACAAAACAAAAGATGACACAATGGTACTAAATAGAGTTCAAAACAATAACAATACGCACCAAATGTTCCGTCAGAGCGCTCAATTCGCTTTTCATAACTCTGTAAATGATGAATAATTGGAGCAAGGTATGCAATAGTCTTCCCCGTGCCAGTAGCAGCATTAACTAGTCTAAATTCTCTCATTAAAGAACTCCATTCAAAAACAGAATAACAAAAACATGTTATAGCATGAATTAACATTGTTTTGAAACAAAAATAAAATTCTAAAATTAGGATACGCGTGACGGCCAGAGAGAACAACAGGAACGGCTTGAGCTTGCACTAATGTTGGACCTTCAAAACCCATCCTTTCTGTTCAAAAAATTGAAAAATACATAAACAAAATCCAAAAAAAAAATCAAAATTTTAGATGATTGAAGCTTGATTATGAGTTGAATTAAGATTCAAAACACTGAATTCAAGAAGAAACAAAAAAAGAGATAGGGATTGAAGAAAAAGTACCACGAAGTTGGTCACATAAGGTTGGATGAAGACCGAGGCTAGAGAAGGTACATGAAGCAAAAACGCTATCGTCTTCTTTGTTGGTTCTATTAGCAACGGCTTTCTTTTCGTTGTCTTTGTTTTTCACCAGTTGTGTTTTGGACTTTATCTTCGTCCCCATTCTACTTTGTTCCGAATTGCTATTTTATCGGCACCGTGGAGGGAGGTTGTGGAGGTGGGAAGGTATGACGTTGGCGAGTTGGTCGGAGCTGAGAAGTTTGCCGAGTTTGGAGACAAAGAACGCGGTGGTAGAACCGGTTCCACGGCGGAAGAGGAGATGGGAGTGATGAGTGATAAGCGATGAGAGAGAAAAGGTCTTGAGTGTATGAAAACTTCTCTTGGGCCACGATTTAGTTTAGGCCCAGCTCGCAAATTAAAGTAATTAACAATAATTTGTGGAAATTGATAGTGGTGGAAAAACTCTACTAAAATTTGAAATTACACTTCATGCATTCCTAGTGGTGGAAAAACTCTACTAAAATTTGAAATTACACTTCATGCATTCCTAGTGATACGTCTTTTTTTTTTACATAATTTATTTTGAGATGATATCCGTATTTATATAAGATAAAATTCAGAAATGCATCTTCAAAATCACACCAAATAGTTATTTTATTACTTTGATTAAAAGATCAATTTAATGATATATTATAGTTATAATATCATTTTCAATTTTGTATAAATTAAACCACACAGTTTCGAAATAATATAAAAATCACATATATAAATTAATAAATTTGAATTATATAATGAAGTAAAAAAAAATAAAACTGAAAACAGTGCTCCTAATACAAGTCATCAAAGTATTGCATGTAGATCACATCCATAAAAGTGGCACTCTTGTCCACAAAAATGGACGTGTCAATCAAATATAACAGGTATGTTCTATATTGTGTAACTTGCTAGTCATCGCCAGCGGCCTGCTCTAGTGTATGTGTATGTTGTGTATACAACCACTCCAAGAATTGAAACCTGACATGAGCCCATGGGATGGCTTTTAACTCTTGTATGGCATCCTCGTGTCAGCTCCCAAATAATCTACCATCATCTCTAGTGCGCCATCTCTATTAATATTGTCGTGATCTAACAGGCTCCTCTGATATGAAGACGCAGCAGGCACGAGACATCGTCCAGTTTGATAGACATCTCACCCAAGTGGAAGATGAAATGATGGCGTCTTCGAGTGTCATATCTCTATAAACGCGAACAGCATATCATGGTTAACTGTAACATAACCGATTTTACACAAGTCTCTCATTCTAGATAGCTGCATTACATCCTGAAATCACTATTCATTTGGCTGCAGCAGACTAGTAATCTTTCGGCCATGGTTGATTCATTTTAAAGCATCAATATCCTACAGAAAAATAAATCATCGTAAAAAACTTTGAATATTATAACAAACATATTTTTCAAAGAACTCATACAATTGAATTTTACCTATTTATTCCAAACATGTCTGGCAGCATGGTTCGGATATAGAGGCAACATTGATAAGTTAGACGAGCCTCTTTCACTACTACAAAAATGCTTGTTACCTCGGACGCGAAATGCATAATACCTCGGCTATATAAGGGAGGAAATTGAGGGATACATGATAACTCACAATTTATCACCTCGATATTATTAAAACTGAGAGGTAAAGTTAAATGCACATTAGTTTGAACCCCAACAACAACACTTTTATTATTTTCAAAGTTAGCGTATATTTCATCTCGGTTTATCTTGAAAATCGAGGGGTTAGATAATTTCTTTTTTTTTTTAATTGTTACATTGTTTACACAGAATAAAACATTATTTACCCAGAATATTACATTGTTTAAAATAAAAGTCAATTTCCCTTAAGATCTAGATCTTAGATCTTCAAATCACTGAGTCTTGGGGAAGATCAAATGTTGGGTGCAAGGTTTGTCTATTCGGATCTTGCATGCATTTGATTCTGAAGCAAAACAAAATAAGGGTTAGATAAATAAAATCAATTAATATATGATTTTATACTCAAATAAATATTTAAGAAAACAAACCTTAAAACCAAGTAACTTTCTGCTCTTGCAATCCATCTTAGAGAACTTTTCAAAACGTCTTTATGTTTCAAGCACTTCATGTTTCATTTAGGTTAGATTTTCAATATTCAGCATGCTTTTATAATGGATGTCCCTTAGGTTTCATGCAGATCACTAATGACAAATTCTTGAGCGTTGATAAATATTAAATAGACGATAAAGATTTGTTTAAGGACGAATAGTAAAAAACGGTTAATTATCCCCATAGTTTGTGATTTTATTTACAATAGGAATTGAAACAAAAATTGTAACCAATCTCTTTTCCTTATAGAGTAACACATAAGTTTTTTTAAATGCATAACAATTTTTTAATATTAAATAAAGTATAATAAGGTTATTTTGTTTAATATGTCATATTGGCAAATTAGTATAATATCTCTTAGTATATGCTTGTCTTTTACTTTTATTTTGAAAAAAAAAATATTTAGTTGAAGTAAAGGTCTATCGATTTTCGAAATTGACTTTACGATAATGTTAAACTATGAAATGGAGATACGACGATTGATATAAATCTCGGACAACAAGGATATGTCGAGTTTGAACCAATGTTGGAAACATAAACAAACACCATATGTTTATTCTATTTAGAAGGCATTGTGTTGTTTAATTGTTTATTTCTTGTTTCATTGGCAATCAAAGATAGAAAATTTGTTTCTATTTCGTTGGCAATTTAAGAGAGAAAGGGAAATAATGGTTTTTGTTTCGTTAGCACCATAGGAATGAATGTGTTGTTTATCCTAGAAATAATGTAGAATGTTGTTAACCAACATTCTTTGTTAGTTTTTCCTAAATAGAGTAGCTTCAATTGTATATAATTAAATGAGAAAATCTATGTATACACACACAAAAATCATACAAATTCTACAATTATGTAACTTGCGGCAATTACTTAGTGTTTTTTCTTAGTTTCCATTTGACCCATTTTTCTTTTGTTATGTATAGTTATTTCCATTTGTGATATTTGTTATTATTAATCTGCACAAGCCCGTTTAATTTACTTTATTATTATTTTAAGAAATTCAATTAATTGAAAATTCAAAATGATCTAAGCACAATAATTATTCTTTCACTTGTATTTTAATATACGTTGATGATTTACTTCTGGCAGGAAATGACTTATTTGAAATTAACAACATCAAAGTCTTTCTAGACAACAACTTTACAATCAAATACTTAGGAAATCATTAGTATTTCCTTGGATTTGAGATTGCAATGTCATCTTAAGGCATATCTTTATGCCAAATAAAATATATTATGGATATTCTTTAAGAGTATGGTCTATTGGCATATAAACTAACTTCTACTCCCATGGAACCTGGTCAATCCTCTCAGTTTAATACTGATATTTTTATTACTAATCCTATAGTTTTTGAAGCTTCATTGGTAAATTTCCTTATTGTCGTACCTCGAAAAATACGATCCTTCGTGATAGACGTCGAAAAAAATTGTTTGAACAGAGTTGCCACCAAAATTTATTTATTCTAGTAAAGGAATAGGAAAATATCGATAAAACCTTTAAGATAAGAAAACGGTCATCACAACCAAATTCTAGGTGCGAGAGTAGATTACACAAAGGGAAGGTATTAGTACCCCTCATGTCCATTACGGGAACCTCTTAGTCTGATTTGTGATTGAATGTTAGCTAATGCTATTTGTTTTCTTCTAAGCGACTAATGCGAAAGGTAAAAGAAAAGAGTTTTGTTTTTCTAAGGGGAAATGAGAAGTTGTTTAAAAGGGTGTTCGCCAAGGATTGGAGCTCTTATGCCTATGTATCTTTCATTTGAAAAAAATGAAGAATCAAAGCATTTGTAGTTCGTGGGACTACAGGTTGTTGGTTCCTTTTAGGGATCACAATTGTTTGAATAGTAAGGAAGGCTCCTAGTACCCCAAACAATCGAGAAGAGGAATCGAAAGCTCTAGATCATATCCCTTTTCACCTTTAAGGAAATAATGTTAAAGTAAAGGTTTACTGTTTTAAACAATGATGGATGCTTACATGGCCAATGAAGGCTCCTTGTGTTCAAGCACTCGAGAAGAAAATAGAAGGCTATAGACTCTTCCTTTTCATTTAAGTAATTGTGAAAATGATTTGAGTTTGAATCGGGTCAAGAGTCTTTTAGAGAAGACAATCGTTTGAATAATAAGGAAGGCTCCTAGTACCCAAACAATTGAGGAGAAGAATCGAAGACTCGAGACTAGCTCTATTTTTATCTATTAATGAAATAAGGTCTAAGTATGATTAAGTTGATTAAATTGACTTAGATAAAAATATTGAATGTTGATCGAGGTTTGAATTTGTGTTTGAAACGGTGTAAGGGTTTGAACTAATGGAAATGAGGTCTTATTGGGTATTAGGTAAGGTTGATGGTGGTGCATAAAATGGTCGACTTACAAGAGGTAATGGAACTTGATATGTGGATCAAGTGTGCTTAAGTGGAATATGTTAAAGGTTAATGGTTGTGGAAAGTCCTATTGAATTTGTTTCATGAAAAATGTTTGGCGTTAGATCAAGATTATTTGTGTTCTTTTGAATAATGGGTGATTGATTTTATTATTACGTTAAAGCTACCTAAGCGGAGGCAAATAAAGAGAAAGCGATAACAAACACTACACAATATGAGAATGCGGATACATTTTGTCAAATGGGGATAATACCAAGGCATAGCAAAATAAGTCCATCACACAAATTCATGCAAATAGGATTGTGGAATGTAAATCAAATCTCGTTGTATGAAAGCTCAAGAGGAGACTATGTGAGGTTGATGTCAATCGTGAAAACGATCAACTTACAGGGGTGTTTAAAAAGGGTTTCATATTAAATCAAACATTAGTTAGAAAAAAGTTTGAACGTGCATATGAGGAATGAAGTTAAAATGCATTATGGCATAGGTAATAAGCCTAGGAGCAAATGTATAAGCATCAAATAAAATCAAGTATTACACAATTAAAATAAAATTAAGCAAAAGGGTAAAAAAAATTAATTAAATTAAATATAAATATTTAATCAAATTAATTAACAATTTAATTAATTAGTATTAAATAAAGATATTCAAAATAA